AACGTGTTTACACACTCTAAATTTAGTGAATGGTATGTTTTACCACGTTCTGTAAAGCTTATAGACCCCTGCATCGGGTGCTATGACAGAATATGTTTGCGGGTGGACCATGACTAATGATTAGATGGGAAAGAACTTTGTTTACCTTGTCTGTCTCTTCATCATGAACTTTTGTTGACTGCTACACTTTTTTGGCTGTGCCTTTGAAACCTTCACCTAGCAAGCATAGCTCAGTAAGGTGGTCCTAAAACCAGTTTGCATGACTAGCTACTAGGAACACACGCCCAGCACAAAATGTGCCTCGTTGCGACCATAATGTGCCCCCATATTGCGTGTGCAATAAATATTACATTTAGAGGATCGCTAACTGTGCACAGCTCTATTACTTGTGTACTCAAGAGGTGCAGAGTTTTGAAGGCACAGTGAAGTAATGCAACAAGCTTCAACAGCATGATGACAAAAAGGGAACCTTAATGATGAAGAGATCGCAGTGTTTCTAAATGGTGTTTCTTCCCACCAAAATATTCTACCAGAGTGTGATTTTACTCCAGCTAAACAAAAATAGAATTTGTAAAACATTAACAAGGACTTCATTTTAATGCTGCATCTTTTTCACATATGTACATCTGATGTAGTGTTGTTTTAAATGTTCTTTTAGCAAGGGGTCAGGGTTCGATTCCCCGGTCGGGTAGCCAGGGTCCTTTCTGCATGTACTCCTAGTGTCTGAATGGGTTTCCTCCCACTGTCCAAAGACATGCAGGTGAACAGGAGATGCTAAATTGCCCCTAGTTGTGAATGTGTGTTTGAATGTACATGTCTGTGTGTCTACCTTGTGATGGACTGGCGACCTGTCCATGGTGTTTCCTGCCTTCTGCCCAATGGCCGCTGGGACAGGCTCCAGAACCACCTGCAGCCCAGGAAGATAAGTGGCTTAGAGAATCTGTGTGTTCTTTCACCACTTCTTCAATGCTCATGTTTTATGACCTTCCCTCAAATTAATATGCATGAAGAAGAGAAGCGGATTCTGTCGATTCTGTTATTTTATGTACTTTAATGATCCTACAAGAGATATTTGTAATTTTGCTGCCTAACTATGTCCAGTCTGGAGCAGTATAGTCTCAAATAATGAAGACATGATCTCATACCAAGAACATCTGGGGCAGGGGTGTCCAATCCTAGTTCTCGAAATCTACTGGCCAGTAGAGTTCAGCTCCAACTCTACTCTAACACACCTGATCCAAGTAATGAAGGCTTCAAAGCGCATCTGAACATAAAACCAAAACAATACGGTGCATTCATCAACATCATCCATTGGACAAAGCCATCAGTTCATGGATGCCATGGATGAAGTTGGCATGGCTAAAAAATGTCCTCCAAAAAACTCCAATCAAACCGACTGTCAATGTGTCGAGAACACATTACATGTGGTAAAAATAAAGATGAGCACTTGCAAAAGAAAAGTTCTGTTGGACAAGATTATGCATTAGCTTTAGATTATGCATTAGCTTTATCACTGGGCAAGCAGTAAAAGTTTCTGATGGGTTACCAGCAGCTATATGTGGCCACTGTCACTCCCAATTGTGATGATACAGCCAGAGTAAAAGTGATATGGAAAGAACTCGACTTGCTCCCCTAAAATGGACAGTAATGGAGCTATGAGCTCATGCCAGAGTTTTGCTAGCTAGCTTGTTTCACTGGTGTTATCTGGTTGTACTCTAGATGTTGAAAATGCATGCCTGAGGGGAATTTCGGAGTGGGGAGGAGGAGTATCCTGCAATAGAGGGCAATAGAGGGTTAAGTGCCTTGTCCAAGGGTGCAACACATTTTATCCAGTCAGTCCTGGATTTTTAAGCTGCAACCTTCTGGTTACTGGCTCAACCCTCCTCTGACTGGACTAGGTTTAGGCTCATGCCCCTGTTAATCCATCACAAGCAAGAAGAATGCAACTGATTTGCACCTGAATCTGCCGCAGAAGGCTTTCTATGTTCATTTCAGGTATGTCTAAGGTATACAGCTTAAAGCAAAGCCCAAAACAGTATGATTGTATGAAACGGCAATACTATTCCTTTCCTGCGTTTCACTGACAGGCTCCATATTAAGGATACATAAGGAAAATGACATCAGCAATTCAAAGCTATTATGGTTGTTGACTGAAAACGACGCTAACGTAACTAACGGCCACCGTTAGCCTTCGCTGTCTCAATCCTCAAAGGCAATTCCGTCTGAAAGCTCTTTTGTTGTACAATAACATTTTTAAATCTTTGGTCCTGGGTGAGAGGTTTTTGGTATTCAGCGCAGCTGCTGAGAGGACGGCTGAATGCCAAACACAAAGGCGCTCAGGGACAGTTTCAATCAAAGAGACAATGATATGTCACTACAGTGCATCAGCGAAAACTTAACAAGGGATGCCGAGCTTTCACAAACAATAACGCAATGATATCTGGAAAAGAAAGAGGAGAAAATGCAAACCCCAGTGCCATGGACATCATACCGGCCTTGTTCAGTATGCACAGTTTGTACTTCATATTTTCCTCCGGTTAAAAAAAACAGCAAAGCATTGGCATTTAATCACAAACGTGGGGTGGCAGAAGTCTTCGCCGAAGCTGGCGGAAGTCGTGATGGGTGTCATTTTTTCCTGTGACGCATTCCACAGCCGTGCCACTTGTCTTTGGCCCAGGCTCAAGGTATCAGTCTCCTTTGCCAAGATTTAATGGAATTTCCGCCGCCATCCACAGCAATCTATCTGGATCCAGATGGATTCGCTCATTTCATTAACGTGCGACTTGTTCGGAGAGACCACCTTCAGGAAGCCCCCAAAATTAGCACATGAATGATTGGAAAAGCCGAAATGCCAGCCATCTGGAGATTTGATGGACGAGATTGATTGACCCGCTGGAGGTTTTCATACGTAAACATACATTTACCACCTCCTGAGGAAATCAACAAGACGCCATTATAACGTGTGAGTGAAATGCAATCACCAGCGGTTAGGCAGATGAATGAGTAAAGCACGAACGCAGGCATGCGGCGTTGATAAAACTATCAGTCTTAGCCGCGCGCCATGACCGGCAAACCCCTTTGAGACTACTTTATATCCACCGAGATAGAGACACAACTTTAATTGCACAATGATTACAAAATTGGAATTAAGTAAATGTCATCCTGGGCTTTGTGCAGCGGCGTGGAAAACCGATTTGTCTCCAAGGGGTCAGATATGAGGCTGAGCTACATTCAAAATATACATTGTTAGAGTTGTCCGAGGTCATGGCATGTCCGGTCTCTAATAGGCAGGTCAGATTTTAAGCTCTGCAAAACAAATACCAAGCCAGAGGTAGCATGACCGCATCTTGTTAGTCGGCCTTATACTCATGCAGTGTGTATTCAATGCAGAGATTGATCTGTTTTTCTGTTTAATACTACTTTGGGCTTTCTCTCAGTAGGATAACTGTTAGTGCTTTTGGCTGCAGCAAACGCCAGCGTGTGTGCCGGGACTTTACTTTGTTGCAATAATCTGCATTGAGACTTCGATTTTCATTTCATTTTTTCATCTTTAGCCACCTACAAACCTCTGTGCCAAAGTTAAGATTTGCGTTTTGCTGACTGTATTAACAAATGCAAGAACACATGGCTTTCAAAGTCTGTCCAAAAGTTTGTAGACACCTGCTGTTCTGAAATCAGGGTCTTAATAGGGATTTTGTTCTTGTTTACTGCAGTAACAGCCTCTAGTCTTCTGGAAAGGCTTTACACTTGATGGTGGAATGTTGCTGTGAAGATTTGCATTTAGCCACAAGCGTGTTGTTGAGGTCTGGTACTGATGTTGGTTTAATAGTTCTGGATCACAAAGCCACTTCAACTCATCCAAAAGGTATTGGGTGGAGCTCCATCATTCCAGAGAATGCATAGTACTACTACTACTACTACAAATGGTACCTGCTCTGTGAGGGTCCATGGGGGTCCTGACCACTGAAGAACAGGTTAACAAAGTACACAGAGAAACAGATGGACTACAGTCTGTAACTGTAGAACTACAAAGTGCACCTATATAGTAAGTGGAGCTGATAAAATGGACAATGAGCGTAGAAACAAGGAGGTGCTCATAATGTTATGCCTGATCTGTGTATATACTTATGTATTTATTGTTGCTGTCCAATGAAAAATATGTTTTTTCTCCATTTTTTTGCGATTTTTACTTTTTTTGCATCGCTTGAGCTCAGCAGCTGTCCTTTACATTGTGTGAAAATGTCATGATAATTGGAGTTATGGTGTTTATAAGAATTGGAACGTATGTATATTTTACTGTGCAAATGTCAAAAAGCCTGTTTGGTACAAGTTATTCATTTTTCTTTGTCAGGAAAAAAAGCAGAAAACATATTTAACAGAAATTTACACAGAAATTTGTCTGTCTGTTTCAGTATTTTGTGCATCCACCTTTTGCTTTAATCACTGCTACCATTCTTTTCAGAAGACTTGCCTTCAGTTTCAAAGAAATCTGTATGGATATTTACAGATATATAAGTTCAGTGTTAGAAGTTGATTACATCTTCTGCTTCTATGATGCAAATTCAGTGATACTGAGTCTTGGACTCATGGCCGTTTTGCCTGAAAATGAAGGAAAATAAAAATGGTGTCTGACTCTTGCACAGTAGTCTATGTATTTATTTATAAATGCATGCATATACTTATTAAAATGAAAAACATTTTAATGAAAAAATATGTTTAATTTATTTCATTTATTATAATTCCAGAAGTGGCATATGGTGTTTATCTATGGTGAAACAAACGCAGCATGCATGCATGTATGCATTTATTTATTATAATTATAAATGTATAAATTACAATTATTTATGATCATAGAAACATGTATTATTAATACCATTTTTACTATGTATGTGTGAATTTATTCTTTATTTATTTCGAATAATTTAAGTCATTACATAAATAAATAACACCTCACAATTTGTTGCACATGTAATATGTAGGTGGCCGTAGGTTATTTATTAATGTGGCCACACACTGGGGAAATGATCTTGCCTTACAGACTCGATGTGCTTCCCAAGCAGTTTCAGCTACAGATAAAATGCTCTGCTTACAAAGAAAAAAAAAGAAATCGATGGTTGAGTGAAGTTCTGGCTGCCTCTGCCCCTCCCCTGCAGCCCCCCAGGCTCAGTCCCATGTGTTTGTTTCAGTCACACGTCTGTCAAACAGAGTAAAAGTCACACAGATATTGTTCTCGTCACAGGACCTACTCATATAAAGAAAACACATCACAGGCATCTGTCATCTGTCAAACATCCATCACACCAGCTTAAAAAAAAAACACATGATAAAAGAAGAGACATAATCACATTTCTGATGTTTCCTCACAGCTTTGTATTATTTTGCTTATGAGTCATTCTATGGAAACATCCATTTTTGTGTCCCTAGCCTTTATGGATATGCTAGAAAAACATGTTAGGGTTACAATTTATATATGTATTAAAATAAAACAATGTTATTTTAACAATTACACCTTCTTGAGCCTCGATTTAGCAAAACTGGCTTTAAAATCAATCATATAGAATTCCAAGCACCACAGAAGAGCTCGTCCCCACAGTCATGTGTAAAACATGAGGGCCATATTTTGAGATATTTTGAGTTAAAAACATTTTTCTGCTATTTTAACTGCAATAATCGATACATGACTATGGAATATATGAATTAAATGACATAAAGAAAACAAATGCCAAATAAAAATGATAAAATATATAATGAAAGTTGTCCCCAGGAGTCGTGTCACTGGTGTTACCGCGTAACAAAAAATCTCTTATTTTGAAATAAAAGTCACACTGATGACATCACTTCACTTCCTTTTACCTGTTTTCTGAGGATCTATGAAGAAAAGCTCATGGTGAGTCCACTGTGTCTTTCAGTTATCAGAGATTTTCTCATTAAGCTCATGATTTCATGTGAAGCTTTTAGCTGAAGTCACTGGTGTGACCGACTTTATTCTGAGGTAATTGTGAAATTCCATATTTTAGTGGATATTCCATGATTGACAACATGTGGTTTGATGTTCTGTAGCAGCCGTTTTGTAAAATGCATTGTTCATTAAAAATGTCTCTGGTGTTCCCTTTATTATGTGTAACACCAATGAGGATCAGTAACACCAGTGACTCCTATGGATAGAATAAAAGTTGTGTTATCGTGATATTGCCGTTTGCAATGCTGTTATTACAGAATGCAACTAAGCTCTCTAACCAATCACAATGTTGTTTACTGTGCACTATGTGCATTCTAGCCAATCACAGTTCTAGTTAAAGTTTCTGCTTTGGTGAATTTAAGTACTTATGGAATCAAGAAAAAAAGTTAAAATAATGCTGATCAGTCTTTACATTATTGAATCAACAATGTGTCTTTAATATATTCCAATGTAAAGCATGTAAAGCCAAAACTAGTATTTTGTCCATTTAATAGCCTTATAAATCAATCTGTTTATTCTCCATGTATAAGGAACTTCTCTTGCTGTGGTTGTCAAAAATTAATACAAACAAACAGACGTTTTGCACATACAGTTGTATGCTAACATTTGGGCACTTGTGGTCAAAGTGGATAGAACAATGGCAAATTTGACATTTTTTTGGCCGTTTCTTTTGGTTCATGCATCATGAAATTTACACACAATGTAAAGAGCAACAGGCATTTTCAAATTACGTCAAATTACGTCAAAAACTGAAAAACAATAAAAATGGAGATACAAGGTTTTCTTCCGACAACAGCGATATATAACAACTGTTATTCGTGATCCAATAGTGATCATAAAGGTCATTCAGCAATGGTCATTAGGGACTACTCCATGTCGCTACATGATGACACACCTAGACAGGCTGGTATAAAAATAGGCAATTCAGTGATAATCTGCATTATGGAGAGGAGGGATTTCCTTGGGATTTTCTAGGTGTTGGGAGGGAAAATCAAATAAAGTGATCCAGAAATATTTCTGACATTTTTAATGCATTATAATAGTGTTATATTTTGAATCGCTAAATCGAATCATGAAATGGAATCACTGAATCAAATCACTAAACTGAATAACTGAATGACACAGAATCAAACAGCTGAAAAGAATCACCAAATTGAACTGGAATCAAACTGCTGAATTGAATCACCAAATCAAATCACTGAATTGAACTGCTTAATCAAATCACTGAATCAAATGTGTCAAATCCCAATGTGTGAAACCTATGAATCATGAGTCAAATCACACAAAAATATCCAGCCAAGAGCAACTCTGATCGATGAACAGCCAGAGGGTGGCTTGCTGGTGTACAGCTGTGTGCAGCTGCCGTGTAGCTCATCTGTTGATGCAAAATTTGTTATGGTGCATCAACACATGAGCTACACTCTTCAACTGTACACCAGCAAGGTCACCCTACAGGCCAGTGGTTTGTAATAAAGTGGCCAGTAAATGTACAGTAGTTGCTGTGCAAGACTGAATTGGTTCTAGTCAAGGTTTCATCACTGTTTTCTGCACAGAACTTGGCCTGCACTGCAACATCATGACTCACATCTTACAGCTCCTTGGAACACTATGTCACCAAACGCGCTAGAAAACTGCAGCCCCTCTGGACAGGTAAAATAAAGCATGGGTTATTTTGGGCTTTAAGGACAGCGCAGGTGTTCAGCGGGGCCTTGAGGCTCTGGGCTCGGATTGTAGCCCATGTCAGCCAGCACCGTTTAGCTGTCACTGGATGGGCTTTGGAGTCAGGGCACTGGTGGAAGGGCCTCGGGGGGCTTCCTCTCATTATGTGTGGGGTTTGTTGGGAGCCATGAGGTTAACCCTGCTAGTCCTCCCTGCTGCTCCCACATGACATTTAATCAGAGTCGCTGATGTGGCAGTGTCTGGGGCAGCATGGACATGCTTGACATGGGGATGTGTGTAATCTGGCAACCAGAGGTAGCATCTCTTATTATTTTGGAGAGGTTAGTTATGTCCTGCGTATGTAGGGCTGTCGAGCAACTAAAAAGGCTAATTGTGATTAATCACATTTGTCTTATTTGCTGAAATTTGACTACAGACCATTTTTCCATTTTTACAGTGTTTTTTTTTGTTGTAGCTAAAAATGTGGACAAAATAATCTTAATCAAAATCTACTTATTAGTTGAAGTAATACAGTGACATTATTTTCATGCATCAAAATTATGTAATTTCCTTAAGATTTCCAATTTTTGTAGTGTATATAGTCATAATCAGACGTTTGGGCACGCCTCATGGTCAAATTACATGTTTTATTGATGCAGCCTGTGCAAATGGGGATTGTGCAAAAGTTATGTTTTTTGTTTGACATTTTTCCAGTATGTTGACCACCTCCTTGTTTCTACGCTCATTGTCCATTTTATCAGCTCCACTTACTATATAGGTGCACTTTGTAGTTCTACAGTTACAGACTGTAGTCCATCTGTTTCTCTGCATACTTTGTTAGCCCCCTTTTACCCTGTTCTTCAGTGGTCAGGACCCCCATGAACCCTCACAGAGCAGGTTAGCTACTTCTAGGCTTAGTTAAAGGTTTAACCCCTTAAAATCCCAGTCGTAGTATGTAATAAAAAAAGGGGTTACCCCTTTAACTAAGCCTAGAAGTAGCCATCTGGACATATCATGTAATTTTTAACTGTAAAGCTGTGTTAAAATACACTGACTACAAGTGTTTATACATGTTTATGTTTAGCACAAACTGAGTTCCAGCTATTGATTGCAAACATTAAATGTAAAAAACTAAAATAGCACTCAAAGGCAAAACATACAAATACAGAAATTATTTTTTTCTTCACATTTATACTGAAACAACAACACAGAACAAAACAATGTCAATGAGTAATCAAGCAAAGAATTTATAAAAGTCACTTGTTTCTACTGTGCATATGTTCAGATTGGTGCCCATTTTTCTGAGAACCATCTCAAATGGTTGTAAAGTTATTTAAGTTTAAACATTAAGTGTCTTGAAGGCAGTGCTGGTGCAACATACATGCTTAATGAATGTTTTCTCATAATGTAATTTTCCTCATATCTTTTTTTAGATTAACCAGGGCACTCTCGGCTCTCTGTGTGTGAAATGTTATGAATCTGCATTGAGCTGCTAGTGAGCGATGAGGAGCAGGACCAGAGCGGGACTTGTTTTAAAATAAAGAGTGATGCAGACTAGCCCACCCCAATCTCTACACACACATAGCATTGCCTTCATGCAAAATAACTTAATCTAAAATCTGCGGATTTTCATCTTCATTTCTTACAAACTTTCTTGCTCAACATTTCTTATTTATTGTTTGTATTCTACACTGAGATAACCAAGGGGCTAGCTCGTTGTAACCATCAGGGTCACATGATCATGTTTTTTCTTACTTGCTTACCATGCATGCCTGTGTTATATTACTGCTTGCATTTCTACCTGCAGCCTCAGGGGGAGCTATGATCTATACTGACTCCTGGGGGGTCAGGTACAGGAAATAAAGGGTAGTGAAACAGGAAGTAGATGACAGTTGTTTGGTCAACACATGCACTCTCTACTTTGTGGGATTTGTCTCCTTTACCAGGAAATTTATGTTGTTATGATGGTGTAAGTACCATGTTTTTTCGTCCTTTTAGTCAGTGAACCATTTGCATTGAATTCAATAGGAAATGTATGGTTTTGTACTGGGTTTGATGTAGCTGTTAGCATGCTATGCTAACTCCAGGTTTTGTTTGGTAAGGTTGTTTGGTTTGAAATGAAAAATGGCAAGCACTTTAATGTTATATATAGCATAATCATGACAGTCAGTGTGCTACAAATTAGCTAAGTTAGCTAAGGTCAGAGTTTCTCACTGTCCATCTGCTCGGCTATGTCCTCATCCTCTTTAAGATGGCTTTCTCATTGTTGTCTTCTCTGTGCCAACTTGTTTGTTTTTATGAAGTTCTTGAACAACAGCAGCATTTTCACATGATTCACATATGAACTATGTACTTAGCTACATTGGCAACGCACAAAAAAAGTAATGAACTCTTTAGAGCACTGCATGTTGTGTCAGCCAGTACCAGATTCGCAACACCGCACTAAAACTGATGCGCTAATCTCTCAAGGCTGATGTTCACTTCTTATTCAAATGATTTAAATATAACTGCTACATCATTTAAGGCAGAACAAGAAATGAGGATAAAAAGCTAAGATCAGCTTCAGCTAATCTCTACACAGTGTATAAGATTCAGTCACAAACAGCAAAATGGGGCCATCTCATTTGAGGTGGTTGGCTGCTGGTTCAACCCTTAAATAACTATAGACTTGGATGTAACATTTATAGTTCATCTGAGAATTCGTATCGCTGTTCTCAGAAGAAAACCTCATATCTCCATTTTTGCTGTCTTTCAGTTTTTGACATAATTTGAAAATGCCTGTTAACCTTTATATTGTGTGTAAATTTCATAATGAATGGACTTAAAGAAATGACCCAAAATGACTTGAAAAAGTCTGGTTCCATTGACTTACATTAAAAGTAAAGTGTGTTTTTTTTTTTGTTTTTTTTTCTTCTTCTGTAAAGTTACCAATTTGGAGATACAAGGTTTTCTTCCCATAACAGCGATTATGCTTATATGTGTGAATTTGTACATAGTTTAAAGTAAATGATACTGACCCAGTGGGATTCTCCTGACTCTCTGCATTACCCACTCTGGCATTGATGAAGGGTAAAGAGACTGCGCTGTGAAAACAATGCACAATGATCTCTACACAATGATGGCCATGATGAGATGAAACCAGCAATGCAACAACTGCTTTTTTCATATCAAACAAAAATGTAAACAATAAAACACTTTCCTAAATGTTGACTTGCTTAATCACATACGAAGACAAAAATTCAGTTTGCTGCCAGTCTTGTAAATCATACACATGTATTTCATCAACATTATTTTACCAAAATATGGTCAATTTGTAAGAAATCCATGAACTTATATATTTATTTATTTATTTATTTATTTATTTACTTACTGAACTGAAATCCAGAGACTGACTCAGCGTTCAGGGAAAATTAAAAGTAATTGAAAGCCACAATACTACCATGTCAGTGTCACTGTTGTGCTGTGAACGGCCAATTTCCCAAAATAATTCTGGCCAATCGCAGCCCTGTGGTCAGAAACTGACCAATGATGAATGGAGCAGAGGGCTGCTGCTGAACTGTATCGACAGATTGGTCAGAGCCTATAATTGTACATGTATATAGCAGACAAAAGGTTCTCATCAAGTGGCCAGTGAGAGGAAGTAAGAGGTGGGAGTTCCCAATAAAGTGGACGGCAAGTACAGCCCAGCATTCATTTACATGTAGCTGCAATGGCATGATTTGTTCAGTGAGTCATGTTCATTAAGTGTGCTCTATTCCCTTTGAAGTACATAATCTGATGCCAGCAGGATCAGGTGGGCTTTACCACAGGCCGTGAGAGCAGAAAAGGGCAAGCATGGCAGGCGGCAGACTGTGCCATATGCTGTTGGGCAGAAAGGGGAAATGACCTCATGAGCATTTCTTATCTTGGAAATCAAGATATTTTTAACACTGCTGTTACACAAGCCTTTCATCTTGCTTTTGTGATTGCTCAGTCAGACAGATCTCACTAAGCTGTCTTTATCAGCCAAAGACAAGACTTCGCTTGATAAGTGAAAAGCAATTGATGTACTGAAGAGTAAAAATGCTGTGAAATTTGCTTTATTCACCATGACATAAGATGGAAGTACATATGTGTGTTCTCCAGAGTGGAACCCCCAGGGCCTTCTAGGCCTTCTGAGAAGGCCTAATGACTTCTGGGAACTACAAAATACATGTGTGTAATTTTTAGTTCATCTGTACTTACTGTTTATTACGATTGCTAACACGAGTTTTCAGTGTTGATTTCTCTTTTTCAACACTCTTTACTTGGTTTGCATGACCAGTTTCAATTTAGACTACCAGAGTCCCATAGGGGTGCTAGCTGATATCAGCATTATTGTAAAGGTGTTTTTTCCTTGTTTTATGACTGAGTTTTGATGCTAGCCAACATGAGCATCTGTTAGCTGTAACAGAATTTGCTGTTAGTGTTCTGATCCAAGCATGTTAATGCAGTGGCTGGCTTCATGTGTATTGGAGGAAGCACATGTTAGTCCAGCTTGTGTGGCACTGTATGGTATTGGACTACTAAAGTGGGCTAAAAAGGCTCGTTTTTTTATTATTTTTATTACATTTCATAACACTCTTGGTTTTCTGACATTTTTGATTAAAGTGTATCTTCACTAACAATTAAATTCAACCCTGAAAAAAAGTCTGATCAACTTAAAATTATAAGGTAAATTATTACACATTGCTTTCTTGAATTAACTCAACTTGAGGATGCTACTGACACAAACTGAAACTTTGTATTTTAGTCAAAAGCTCTTCTAACTTTCAATTCTAGTATCTCAGTAAAGTAAACAATAGAGAGCTTGTTTTTTATTTAGTTTTGACACTAGCTGTGATTCTCTGTCATGCAATCTCGCCAAGCCTTTTCCCTTCTTAGGCTTCCAGATATAGAAATTGTCGGATTACTGGGGCTCAAACTCACAGTATCCTGATGCTGGGGTGAGTTCTGAGACCATTAGACCACATGTTACAGCATTACTTCTCAGAGCTAAAACAACAAATATTTTTACGCTGTATTAAACATAAAGGACACAGAAATCTGAATCATTTCTGAAGCTTCAGAGTGGTGCAATGCAGGGCTGATGGCTGAGCATGTAAAGGTCCAGGACTCAGCTCAGTTCTCTGTAGAAATGTTTCGGGGTGTTTTTAAATTTTAAGATTTTTAAAACCTTTTTTTTATTTAATTTAATTTGAGGATCTAGACAGAAACAAGTTTTGCAGGAATTCAGCATTGATCACTAAAGTGTCTTGCAAACAAAATCCTGAAAAGATAAGTGAAAACACTACTTGTAATAGAAAACAGAATTTAGACCTACATAATACTGACACGTTGAAACTCTAAAAAGTCTATTCCATCTGGGCAATACGATAAACACTTTCAAGGTCTGCTACCTTGAATGGGGTCAATGAAATCTTGGCTTTCGGGACGATTTTTTGTGCACAATATTGGACTCGAATTGGGTTTTGTTTCCCAATAAGTGAAATTTTGTGCACTCGCATTTTCTCTCTTGCAGGCTCTCTCGCTTTCTCTTGCCCATGCTCTCTCTCGTATGCACACTCCTGTGCTCTCTCTCTCGCTCTCTCTCTCGCTCTCTCTCTCGTGCTCTCTCTGTCTCTCTCTCTCTGTCTCTCTCTCTCTCTGTCTCTCTCTCGCGCTCTCTCTCGCGCTCTCTCTCGCTCTCTGTCTCTTGCTCTCTCGCTCTCTTGAAAAGGTTCAAGTGGTTTTTAGTAAATACAATGGTTGTATGTAGAACTATGAACAAATAAAGAACCATTTGAATGCGTATCACGGTTCAAGGTTCACAGCATGATCAAATGTTTCTTCTCTATGATGGACAATAAAATGATTCTATATAGCACTAAAAAGGTTCCACTAATGTTATGAGTCAAAGAACTCTCTTTCAGTACTATGTAGAACACTTTTGCCTACAGTGTAACATTAATCTTGCTGTTTTTGTAATTTGAGGAGTGAGTGAATGTATGCCTGAATGGGAACGTGGAAGACGAGACGGATGTGCACTTGAGCTGGGGTGAAACATGAGGCTGATTAAAAAATATTCAGGGCTGTAGCCGCAGAGGGCCAGGCCAGGCCAGGCAACACTCCTGGTGCAACAGACTTCACTGTAACGTTGCATGTTTAACAGGACAGTAAAATGGAAACACTTTCAAGTACCTGGTTAATATCTAGAACTTAAGAGATTGTGAAAGAAAACTGCAGTGACTTCTCTATGCAGAAATAAATAATTTTATAAATACATCTTTTAGTGGTACAGTAAGTGACAAATGTGCTTTACATCTGCAGGCTATCAGATGCCATTATCACACTACCTCTCAGATCATGAGGCTAATTCAGCATAAGCCACTGGCCGCTCACTCACAGCATCAAATCCTCTGAGGATTCCATTTGGAAGTTAAACAAACCCAAGCGTAAACACGGTAAACATTTTGCTGCTTTCAGCCATTCTCTCAAGAGACCAAACTAAAGCAGCCTTCACAGTGGAGTACTTACACTCCAAAACCTTTGAAACAAACAAAAAGGGAGAAAGCCCGTGATGGTCGGGCCTTTGTTTCAGCACATGTCAGCACTTCTCCACTTCACAGAGTGGCCCCTGAAGGAGTTCAACTGAACTACTTTAAAAACATTTTAGTGGAAGTGAAAGTGCCAGCAGGACTGCACAATGTGTAACAAATTATCGTGATATTGGCCGTTGCAACATTGACATCACTCCCCTGCAATATGCAAATGAGCCCTCTTTGTTATCATTTGGTGTAAATACTTTCCATAGAAAAGTGCACTTTAAATAGGAAACCTGGGGATTTTCAGAAAGTCATGTTTCCAAATCTACTCACAGTTTAACTGTGAAATTCTACCATTTCATGTTGTTTTGTTTGAGATCGAAAAGCACTTTGTGGGTTTTTTTCTACTATTATTTATTTACCATTCAATTTCAAGACAGTGGTAACTTTAACTCCTTAAAATCTCAGGTTTACTGCATACTGAAGCATATTATTCAGTAACTACAGGGGCTTCAATGCAAACTGGCTGAGCTATTTTTAGGTTATAGAATGTGTAATAAAACTTTGGGCCATTTTTGGGTTTAACTGTCAACAGCAGCTGAAAAACAAGACCTTTTAGACCAACCATAAGTTATTCAGTCCCTACATCAATCAGAGTCGACAGTGAGTAAACCTCTGGGCCTTCCAGGCCTTTAGAGAAAGCCTAATGTTTTCTGGGTACTAAAAAATATCATGTTTGTTTTTTTTATTATTATTTTTTTAAATTTAATAGAATCATCATGCTTGTTGTATTTAAAACTCTAGTATAGTGTAACCAAAGGGGTAAATGACCAATGACAATTTTTCTTTTGTGGTAGTATCTAGGTACCCCTAGTGTCTAGGACTTCAGGAGCTGAACAGAAGGCCTTACACATTAGACATACCACCTTCATAATTTGGAACTAAGAGAGGAATCAACCAAGCACATTTTTATTTACAATGACCAATTTTATGAGGGGGGAAAAAAGGTCACTCTTTCTTCTAGAATTCCTAGATACAGTGGTCGCATTACAGGACACTTTACTGAAAGAGTCACTGTGAAGCTGCTACAAGGTAAAATAGTTCATGTCTGTTACAAGCTTTAAAGAAAACCTGGAATGTCTTTTACAAGCATCAAATGCCCGTGTTTAATCTGCAACATCAAAAAAAATTACTTAGAATCTCATAATCGCCAGCATTAGCTTAGCGCTAATATCCTATTAGAAATCTGTAGTCGCACAAGCTCCTTAAGGCTTTTATAGCCCAAATTGAATGCATAGTTCCAACAGTCATGGTTCACCACTGACGTGAGTTATTCAGTAACACAGCTGTGGATCATTAATGATTAAAAAACATGTGGATGCATCTAATAAATCTAAGCAATAGTCGTGAACAATCCAGATCGTTTTGTAGGTCTTCCTTTAGCCAAATCACCACATGCTCAGTGAGTGTTTTACCACTAACTAGGGTTTTGAATCTTCCAAATTCAGACAATCTTTATGCACAGTTTATGATTTGATACAAAAACAACCAGCCAAACAAGTAACGATTCATTTTAAGTTAGTACTGATCCAATGCAATTCAGTTCATCGATTCAGGTCTGATCCAAATTGATTCAGAACAGAAATTCAACAGACATTGATGTGTCCTAGTTCTGACTCTGTAGGGAACAATTTCACAGCATTTCTTCTTTCAGCTCCCGAGTGGTTCGACTGTCTGATCCTCGGCCATAAAACTGGGGGATTGAACATTCAAACTTAAGCAATGGCACAGTCATCTGTGGCCAGGAGTCCAAGAGGGCATGACGGGTCTCTCTCTGGGTGGATAGGATGGACTTTTCTCTACCCTCATCACTCAGCATGATGCTAGCTAACACAGGCATCTGTTAGCTGGTGGAACCAGCACTTAGTGTTTTCTTCCAAGCATGTTGAACTGTCCAGTCGTGTTGTGTTGGCAGCAGGTTGAAAGATTTGATGGTGCTTTACATGTCTTGGAGGAAGCAGGTGTTGGCCTTAACCCTCACAGCCTGGTAGCACTGTGTGATTAGCTAATGGGTGGCAAAGACTAAGTCTGGGAGAAAATTGGGGGAAAAAAGGAATAATTTCCACATTTTCATATTTTTCTAAGAATTTTACTACACTACATTAATTCACTTTGTGCTACATTAAATAATCATATCTGCTTTTCTTGAAATTGCATGATCTTTATCCCATAGTCTCACTAAATATACTAGCAGAGTTAGGTGGCATATGGATGCATATGGCTACATGATAATATACAATAAAATACATTCAGAGAAAGGACGTTTCCAGAGAAAGGACGTTTCATTCAACTATTTGGATGTGCATGAATCAGAAAACCAACAGTCTGCATTTATTGGTTCTAAGTCTAGAACCAGCTTGAATCTAAAAAGAAATATGGCTAAACTGATGTGGACTGATTTTCTTATTAGCATAGTTTTTTCTTTATACCCCTTCTGTTAATTAGTCCTCTGGAGCCGTATTACAGAAACATCTTAAGTCTGAAATCTTATCTGATCTGTTTAGTCACCGTGACGACTTTAGTTAGGACTGAATTTATGGCAGAAGCTATTACAGAACAACAGTTCTTAAGTTCATAATCTCATCATTAACTCCAGATAAGAAAACAGTATCACACAAGCATCCTAACTAGACAGAATTTCCTAAATTCTGTCCTAACTTTAAGATAAACCCCAGATCTGTCTTAACTTCTGTTTAACTGTCTTGTTTTGTGCAGTGAGAGGCAACACAGTTCACTATAACTGACAATTATGTTACACTTATCTACACTGAAAATTGTGCTTTGACTCATGAGGTTTTTTAAAAATGCCAGACGCTGCCGACATGATCTCCACCACCCCCTCTTATTACCTTCATGTGTTAATGTTGAGGCAAACTTGTCAGATAAAATATTAGTGATGGTGGTGAATAATGAGGAGACAGAGCTGAACGTGTGTCTGTTTATTAGGCGGATAACGTTAGCGCGCTTGGCTAAAGTCTTTGGGAAATGGAGACAGAAACCGAAGAGCATCATTGCTCTGATAAACAGCAGGGGGCGATCTCACAATATGCTTAACTTTCAATTTATGGCATTTTGTACATCAGCAATGGTAGCTAACTGCCTGGCTAACTAACTTGATTATGTTAATTTAGATGTTTACGTTTCAGCTCTGCGCATAAGGTCAGTTGCTAAACATGACAGTGGATTGTCAACTTCGATTGAGTAAGTTAAGATTGCTTACCTTGAGATAAGATGCTGTAAAATAAGATAAAATTTGCTTCTGTAATAAGAATTTGTGAAAAATCTTATCTTGACCTGTCAGATCTTAAGTTAAGACAGCAAGATAGGAGGTTCCTGTAATATGGCCCCTGAGGCTTAACCATGTCGCATTATTTATGTTGCCTTGTATATATTGCAAACTGTACTCCAATAGCCATATGTAGCATTATAATTACACTACTAGTATTTTGTCCACATGCAGCCCTACTTGCTGTAGTATTAATATAAATGTGTATAACACTTTACTTGAACCTTTCACGTAACATTGACATAACCATGCCATTACCTTGTGGAGGAAGAGGTCATAAGCTGTCATGCATTGGGATCATGATCATTAGCCCATCTTACACTACAAAAACAGCAAATATGAATGTTCTAATGCTGTTGTAATACTACTGAAATAAAAACCACACTATTGAAGTCATAATTACATTGTGCCAGTGCAAAAACCTACAAGAAAACAACCTGACTGTGATGGAATCATGCTAGGGGATGCAACTAGCAGGTATATTTAAGCCAAAATGAGCCCTTGACATTGACTGAACAGCATTGGTTGCCATATATGACGTTAAATATACTCAACATGAAGACTAGCTTGGTGCTGTAGTCTCGCCAATGAAGTGCAACAGCACAGAAATAAGCTCACTACGGATAATCATTGATTTATTTCCCATAAATCCCACAGCAAATTCAGCAGCGCTAACACTTATTATTACTCCTGCGGAGTTTAACCAGACTGGACGAACTCTGCAGGATGGAATTTATTACTGGTGATTTCGCTGCACACCTGGTCATTGAATGCCCTTTACTCACACACTCGCAGCAGGATGCTACACTAAACCAGTAATATGTAGGTGTGATTTGAAGGCAGCGATCTGAGATTTTAACCATGCAGTGAGGAGGAGACGGACATGCAAAGGCAGGAACTAAAGGTTAACGGTTAAAATCTCTCGCTGATTTATTAGTCTGTGCCTCTGCACTGCTCACAGAGTATTTATAGCTGTCTAAGCACATAAAATCACATGAAAAATCAGTGCAGTATTCGACCAACATCTCTGTAAAGGTGTGCAAAGAAACTATGGCTCATAACATTTTTTTCAATACTGCAATAAAAGTCTCTTAAAGGAGTAGTTTGTCAAAAAAATCATATTTACACTGTATTTTTCCACTTGCCTCAGATGTGGTTGGTCAGCCAAGGCATGTTTGGTGCCCAAATTTTGCTTCTTTAGTTTCAAACTAGAGCTATATGGCTAATGTTGGTACCAAACACTAGAAGTCAGTAGTCACCCAAATCTTTTCTGCAAATACATCCTCCAAACCTTTCTCAACTTCAAAACACTTCCATATCTTTATCTTTCAGATGTGGTTTAGGACACAGATGTCCTACAGATATTTGGGTGTTACAGATTACGATTTCTGTTTAATTTTGAATTTACGAACTGAAAATTTGGGTCATTCTACAGAAATGTCCATTTTTGTGTCCCTAGCGTTCACAGATATATTGCACTTAAAAAACATACTGTTTCCTTAACCACACTGTCAAGTCTGCATGACCTTAATAAAGTGCTGGATGTGGTTTGAGTGGGTTGAGAGAAGTTTTGGGTGTATTTACTGAAAAGATTTGGGTGACTATTGACTTCTAGTGTATGTAGCAACATTAACTCCAGTGGCAAACTAAAGAAGAAAATGCCTGGCTGATTAACTTTACATTACACAAAATACACAGAGGAAAGTCACATGATTAACTGTTGAAAAACCGATGTTAGATGGTCTAACTTAACAGGCTGTGTAACTCCCAGTTTAACCTGAAATATATATTCCATCCCATCACATTTCCCTCTGTCACCAGCTCAATGTGATGAGGATGTATTTCTCAGTGTTAAATTTCAAATGAATGAATGAATGAAATAAATAGGTTAGTGAGGTGGGAAAATTAGTTTTTGGCTTTGCAAAAACCCTTGCCCATTGAAATGATCTGAAATCTGGTTGAAATATGAAAAATTTCTCAGTTTAAAATTGTAAAGTTCTTACAATATTATTTAACTTATTTTGAAACATTTGTTCACTTGTTTTAAGTGATTTTTAAGTAAGACATGTTTCAATACTTAAATAAGTCTCTTAAAGGATTTATTTGTTGAAAGAAAAAAAAAAATGTTTTTACACACTTTTACACACTCATCAGAAGTAGGCGATTTGCCAAGCCATGTTTGGTGTCCAGATTCTGCTTCTTTAGCTTCAAACTACAGTGTTGAATCCAGTTTTGCTAAGAAACACAAAGTCAATAGTCACACAAATCTCTTCTATAAATACATCCCAACCAAAAGTTCACCATGTAGTTGAAAGCTATTTTAAACAATGTTAAACAACTCATTCTGAGATTGTTGTAAGCTTATTATAACAGTATTTAACTAATTTCTAGACATGTTTACTTGTTTGAAGTGTTTTTTTTTTTAAGTATGTTAAATTGGATCGCTATATTGGCAGAAAGTACTGCTTGTTTCAAGCATATAAAATGTCTAGAAAAAAAGTTAAATAATCTTTTAATAAGATTACAACAATCTCAAAAATAGAAACATTAGGTATATCTATTAGATATAATTTCACTTAACAAGGCATTTTTTTGCAGTGTGGTAAGAACAATATGTATTTGAGACTTTCCTAATGAGTCATATATTTTCTACCAATAGCAGTTTCCCTAAGGTCCAATGTAGCTCTGCTCTGAGCTTTACTAAGACTTGCAGCACAGAGGGCAGAACTTCAGACCAAGTATCATATCTGCAGCAGAGCAAAACCTTACAGAAATGCTAATTCATAATCAAGGGAGCCATCGGACTGCGGTGTTTTAGCCGGTTTTCAGAATGTATTATTGTATTAGCATACATATTAACTCCCCTGCGATAATTACTTACCTTGTTGAACGTCCTGGTGGCACCTAATATTTAAGAACACTGGGCAGATCAGGATAAAAGTGAGCGCGTTTAAAAAAGACTACAGAGCCCAGTTAATGAAGTCGCAAATGCACAGTGTTATCTTCAATAGGGAGCAGATAATTGGTGTTTCTCTTCCTCTTGCATAACAACTAGCCATTTGTTTACGTAGCCAAAGTTCAGCGCAGAGACGGGGATCCGGACTCAAAGTCCAGAGGAAATGCGAGCGCCTATGAAAACGGGCCGATAAATTCTGCTCCATTGATTCCCTATCTCGCCCCGCCAGGCGAAAGGTGGAGAAAGAGAGTGTGTGTGAGAGAGAGGGGGAGAGGGGGAGAGGGAGTATGAGCCGGAGTGAAAATGTGTGTGTGCACAGCCATATGTACAATTTAGGCCTAACAGAAACAGAGACTACTTTTATGTTCACTATAATTATGATTTAAACCTGAGGTTAATCATGCAGTAACTATATAATAGCATAATAATTGTTACCATTAGTAGATACCACAAAAAAAGTCAACCAATGTATTCAATTATATTCAATAAATTAGCCAGTAGTGGGAAGCTGCTTGAAACCTTAGCTGTAGTTATTGCCAGTGATAATAAAAATATGTCATAATTTTGTATTAATTATTTAGAACTCATAGCGCATTGAAAGTGGTGGAGAAATTCTGCCAAAAATGTGAATGTTATACTTTCAGTCTGTAATTCATTTGTGTTTGTGAGAAAAAGAGGAGATATTTTACTCTAACCTTGAATTTTTGTATTGCATGCCATGTTCTGGTCAGTGCAGACTTGAACCTGTCAGTACAGAATGAAATGTAAACCACTACCTGATTAAGTACAAATGTACAAACCCAATTCCACAAAAGTTGGGACAGTAGTTAAAATGCAAAAATAAAACAGAAGACAGTGAAACAGATCAGGGATGCGGGGGGGGGGTTATTGGGTAACTCACATCAGTGATGCACTGAACACATTTAGGAGCAACATATGCTGCCTTCTAGACTACGTCTTTTTCAGAGACGTCTATGCTTATTTAAATAAAGAGACAGGGTGGGTGCTAACTTATTCATAAACAGTGACAATGTTTAAGCTTCTTTCGCACATGAACTTTTAACAATAATTAAACATAAACAGGTTTCCTGTGAGTTACAAAATTCTCTACATTGTTTTGGTTCTCATTGCCTGATTCAGTCAACTGCTGCTCCCATAATCCCACTGCTATCTCAGGAATTAAGCAATCAATTCACCACGTCAATAACAAAATCTTGCAAATTTGTGTAAATATAACTTGCCATGAAACACATGCACAAGTCCAGTACAACATCCATGCTATAAGCTTGTGAACATCCCCACTATGGAGGAAGCTGTGCAGTTTGATCATCCCTCTAAAGAACTGAGTAATGCTGAGAATAATATCTCAATAATGATTTGATTTATCAGTGTACTCAGGCTTTAGTAGAGCTAGAAGAGATAAATATCTGGCTCTCATCATATTGATTTATCAGTCTACTCAGTCTATAAACAAGCATTAATAGTTTTAAATATTCTCTTAAGAAATTAAGAGTATTCTGAATATTGACTTTACAAAATGTAACTTGGACTGAATACAGACTATATATATATATATATATATATATATATATATATATATATATATATATATATATATATATATATATATATATATATATATAAATATATAAATATAAATATTCCAAACACTGTTACATCTCAACTTCCATTCCAACTGTATCTTGGTAATGTTCCTGTAATTAAACACAAACCCACAAAGTTTGTGTTGTTTTGGAATAATCCCACTCCCTCAACTGAAATAGGTTTTCACTGTGTTGGGCTGGGGCATCACCCCAGTACTTTGAAAAGCGGTGGGTCAAATGCTCCCTCGCCCTTGTGATTCTGGCAGCTGTGTTAATAACAGTGGTTGAGGTAACAGACTGTCAGCATTTGTCATTTTTTCTTAAAGATTTTATTTTAAGGGCATTTATGGGTGTAAACTTTGAGCAACATGTCACTTTTCATCGATTTCTGTGATCTCTTTCTGGGTTTAATTTAATGCAGTAATAGGTAAATATTGAGTGACACACTGTGGTGCTTAGAGAGTCACTGAGCAGTAGTGTATGCTGTGCACTGTTGTTTAAAAAATGTTTGTGTTTGTTTGTAATGGCGTCTCGCCTCTGTTGTGCAGCGGTCTTAGAGGTTATTAATCTAAAATAGTAAAGTTTACTATGAAACTGTCATGAATAGCACTGGTTACAGAATATTATCTCACTTGAGGTAATGACAAAACCTCATATCTCCATAATGGTAACTTTACAGGAGAAGGAAAAACATACTTTACTTTTAATGTAAGTCAATGGAAAAAGAGTTTTTTCCAAGTAATTTTGGACCATTTATTTTTGTCCATTCATTGTGAAATTTACACACATTGTAAAGGCCAACAGGCATTTTCAAATTATGTCAAAAACTGAAAATCAACGAAAATGGACATACAAGGTTTTGTTCCGACAACAGCGATATGGAACTTTTCATATAACACGTCCTTTGCTTTGGGAATTTTGGAAATACTACACATTTTGTCTTTTTTTTTGTAATCAAGAGCATTTATCATTTGAGCTAATCATCAAGCCCTTTATAATTTTGAGATTTCTGTTTTTTTTATATGAAAAATAGTATAAATATTTGCAGATGGAGATTTCGCAACTGGGATTTGCTTAGCCATTGCGCTAGCAGATGCTGCTGCTCTCCTAAATGCAAGTCTTTTCGAAAGCTGGCAAAGCAAAAACATATTCAAACACAGCAAAATGTGACACAGAGCATTTATTAAGCCGCCATACTTTGCAAAAAAGCTGTTCAACTGCCATCCTTTAAAATGAAGTACTAAACACTATAGCTAGTTACAGCTAAGCTATATTTTATCTGTAACTCACCTTCTGCCACACCACTAGAATCAGGTAATAATCAGGTAGGCTACAATGTTTTAACAAACACCTGCTGTTTATATCATATTTCAGTGACGCCTATCAAAACCAGGCCATTATAGAGAGTCGCTGGCAGCAATGTCCAATTACACCAATAGCTTTATGGTTAGCGGAGAATTCGAGAAATGCTGGAAGGCAGACCTGATTGGGGTTTGTTAGTGGGAGCTAATAAAGGTGTCACTTGCAGTGTTGCTGAGACGTTGCTTAGCTCCATTAATGACAGTCACTACCAATTTAGCCCAGGCATGCTATGTAATTAAGCATGCGGCTGATATTTCAGGTACTTCCAACCATCATTACAGTGACATGAGGTGCAGATGCTATTTGTGGGCCGTGGTGAGAGGACAGTGACGGGGGGGAGGCTGGTTCAGTTTATGCTATTCATAAACAAAATGATCCACAAGGTTGGAAAACAAAATGACATGCTGCGTGTTCGGTAGTTAACAGCAGAACTGGAACCTATAATCAGATTAAACACTATAGATAAAGTGATGCAAATGAATTCTGGTCATGCAATATGCAAATCTCTTGTAGCTCCTCCTTGACAGTGTATGGTTAAAGACTGTCGCCCATCTGTTCATGTACAATTTGTTTTAGCTGTCCTCTAGACAGTGTTCAGTTTTCAGGGGTGGACAGCAACAAAGTGCGTGTACTTCTTTGCTGGACTTGTTTACATTTTACTTCTGTTGTTTTTTTTTTCTAAGCGTTTTCTTCCTTGCCACATTTTACCCTATTACTTTTTGCGAAATACTGTGAGCTAGACTTTTCAAAATATCCAAAAGAATATGATGCCCTTTGTAAACTAATCCACTATAAAACTTTTAAAAATTATAAAATTGTAAATTGAATCAAAAGATTCATGTGATGTATTCTAGCAGTAATAAACTTATCAAAGTAATACATTTTTACTTTGTTTAGAATTTTCACTGACCTTATCAAAGCTGTATATCTGGCAATACCAATAAAATATATTTTTAGTTGATTTAAAATCAACCAAAAACTTTAAAAGTAAAACTCTAAGAATAGTTTTGTTATGGTGGAGGCATAGAGGCTGGAAACACATGCAAGCTGCTTTTATTGCAAAATCAAAACTTAACAGTCCAAAAAACAAAATAATGAAGGTCCACTAAAGAAACAAATCCATAAAGTAACAGAACAGGGAACAGAAACTAAGCAACAGAGAGAAAACACAAGACAAAGACTGAACCAAACACAGGGGTATAAATACACAGAGGGAAAACAAGGAACACCTGGGAAGAACGAGAGGGCGGAGCTACAGACTACAGACTGATGAACACAATTAGGGGGCAGGACCAGGGATGAGACCAAACCAACAACAAAAGCACACGGTAAAACGTAAACAAAGCACATGGATTTAACAGGGAAGACAAAACCGGACAAGATGTTACAATTTTGGGGCATTAAATCCCAGAAATCAAAATTCTGACTGACTATAAATTAACCCCTTTTGAGGCCCATGCAGATTATGTGACTATTTTTGCCATTTAACCTGCTCTCCTCCATTTACAACATGATTTCTGAATACTGTTGTGTTTATTTTGGTATGTTAAGAATAACAATCCCAAAATGTCTAACTTTTATTTTGTTTGAGTTACAAACTACCGCTTAGAAGAAGCCAACACAACAATAAGAATGTCATGCATCAGTCTTGCTTTAGCCCTGTCCTGCTTAAACTAATCAATTATAAGCATTTTTTATTCTGAACTATTCTCTTCTAACAACCTGTGGACCTGGTAGACCATCGAAACCGTCACCATCAGATAAATAGTTATGAAATTACTTGAGTTTTAGAGAGGGACTCGAGAGGAGTTTGGAAGAGGGACCTTGTCCATCATCTCACCCAACATTCAGTCTATCACCAGTTTGTAACCTGACTGTAATCCACAATTCAAACTGCCTCGCTGGTTCTCTCTCTCATTTCAAATTCAAAGCTATGGCTCCTCAAGCAGAACCAACACCAGTTTCACCGTTTTCGGAAACTATCTTCCGCTAAAGCCACAGCTCCAAAGGCACGTTTTACAGGCCAAAGAAACCATCTTAAACGCCACTGCTCCTCGAACCCCATCTGCTAAATAGACAGGCTGGAAATCCCTTTAGATGACCTCATGA